CTATTGGGTTGTCGAAAAAGTCATGATGCATGTTTGCAACAGATGGCACTAGTTCATTTTTGGAAGTACTACAGTCATTTGCATCTATGTTATTGCTATGTCATTTGACAGCTGACAGTTCTAGCTTCATTCTAAAAAAAATTGAGCAATTTGGTTGAGTTTTGGAGATTTTACAACAAGTTGAAGATGGAAGACCAAACAGTGCATTTTTGCCATATTTTACTGTTTTACTTCCATAAAGAGAAGAACGCGTATCGAGATTGTAAAAAGTTGCATAAAGTTTACGGTCACAATGCTCTACAAGAATGTCAGTGCCAATGATGGTTCATGAAATTCCGTGCTGGTGATTTTGATCTCAACGACGCTCCTCGGTCAGGAAGGCCCACTGAGGTTGATGACGACAAAATAAAGGCATTGATTGAGTCAAACCCACATTACACAACACGAGAGATTGCAGAAACTTCGAACATCCATCATTCAAGCATTCACAACCACCTGAAGAAGGGGGATACGTAAGCAAGCTCAATATTTGTGTTCTGCATGAACTCAAAGAAGTTCATTTGACGGCATGTATAAACATCTACCACATGCTCATTAAATGTGAGGAAAACGATCCTTTTTTGAAGCGACTGATAACTGGTGATGAGAAATGGATTGTTTACAACAATGTGGTGTGCAAACGGTCTTGGTCCCGACGTGATGATTCTCCTCAAACGACATCGAAAGCAGACATTCATCAGAGGAAGGTTATGCTCTCAGTGTGGCAGGATTTTAAAGGTGTCGTGTTTTTTGAGCTCCTATCAAGGAACCAAACAATCAATTTGAATGTGTACTGTCAGTAGTTGGACAGTTTGAACGAATCCATCATCCAGAAGCGTCCAGAGCTTGTTAATCGTAAAGGAGTTGTGTTTTCATTGTGACAGCGTGAGACCACACACAAGTTTGATCACCTGTCAAAAATTATTGGAGCTTGGATGGGATGTGTTGCCACACCCACCATACTCACCTGACCTTGTGCCGTCAGATTTCCACTTGTCTCGCTCTCTTCAAAACTCCTTGCGTGGTATAACGTTCAATTCAGATGAGGCTGTAAATCAGCACCTTGTTCCGTTTTTTGCAAACAAAGACAGGTCCTTCTATGAACGAGGAATTATGAAGCTCACTGAAAGATGGCAAAAGGTTATTGAACAAAATGGGCACTATATCATTGATTGACCTTTGTTCTTTATATAAATAAATGACCTTTGAAAAACATAGACAAAATACGTTATGACTTTTCCGACAACCCAAGAGAAGCCAGTGCCTCCCAGGTTAGGTTGGGTCACACACCAAGTGTGTTTGATTTCAAAGCTCTTTCTCCTACTGCATTTTAAGGGGCCAGGCAGGCAAAGGTATCCAGAGTTGGGGGGTTGGTGGGAGTCCCTGGGAAGAGCCTCAGTAAGGGGAGGAAGTACTTGTCAGGAGTGCAGGAGGGCGGGGTCTTCTGTTCAAGAAGAGAGGCAGGGGTGGGTGCACAGGTTACCTTGGCCTGACGAGTGGTGACCCAAGTGTGAATCATGCTGGTGGTGGGTGCAGGAGGCAGAGGCGACATGAGCGACTCCTGTGGGGCAGCTGGGAGGAGGTGGAAATTAGTGGACTCGATAACTGGAACGAGGCAAAGTCAGACCAGGATGCCCACCGACTGGC